CCCTCCTCCATTAGTCTGTCCCTCTTCCTACTTCTCCTACATATCAATTGTGCCATTCGTTTTAAATTCACTCTTTTAAAGACGACAGTCTACGAAGGGATGCCCCGTTCCTGGATGCAAGGCAGAGAGGCTGCAGTCTTCCGTGGCTCGGCAGGGGATGGGGTGGGGGTGCTTGGGGTGGGGTGAGGAATTCCCTGCTTCCCCTTTCAGCTCCTTAGCCCTGGGAAGGTTCTGTCCCTTCACTGGGGTTATCCGGTGCTGTGGCACATTCAGACGCAGATATTAGCCAGCCTCACGGGACGGTGGGCACAGCGCTGCCCAGTCAGCGAGTCTCCAGTATTGAAACAGGGGCTCTTCAGCACCCACCCCCCACCCGTGACACGGCCCCACCTCCACCACCTGGCTGGTTACGCTGTAAGGCCCGTGGCTGGGGTGCGGTCTAAGGTTCAAAGGCCTGTGAGCTCAGTAGTGAGTCCAGGCGGGCCGGCGGCCACACAGGAGTGACGTGGCACTCCGAACGTGTGGAGCTTTGCTTATTACAGCATATGAAGCTGATCTGAATGTACCTCTCTGCCCGGTGGGGTGGGGTGGGGGGGGGGACTTTGGGCGACTCCAGTAAGCACACTGTGACCAAAGATGCATCAGACAGCTTGGCTGTCGACGGGCTTGGTGTTGACAAATGGACGAGGACGACTTGGAGACAGATTTGGCCCCGTGGTAGAGAGAGCAGAACTCTGGAGAGGTCGGCGCTGAGCTTAGACCCATGGTTATAGGATTCTGCTCGCACCCATATTCTGGCTGCAGGATCCACAAGTCCCACAGAGCACAGGGTCCCGCTCCGCCAGAGCAGAGGCAGGATTTAGCCCCTCAGTCACTCAGTACGTGCCAAAGAAAGGTATGTTTACTCCTGTCCCACATCCGTAAGCTGTATGTGGACGAGCATCTGCAGCGTAGAGTCTGAGCTGCCCAGGTCATGTGGCCCAGGTCACGTGACCTCACTTTAAGATAATAGGAACGGGATAGTGAAGCACTCAGTGCTTCTTTCCTTTCTCTGTACTGTGTGTGTGTGTGTGTGTGTGTGTGTGTGTGTGTGTGTGTGTGTGTGTGTGTCTGTGTGTGTGTGTGTGTGTGGGGCACATTTTTGCCCAACTCGGATGCTATGAGCACAGCAGTAATAAAGGTCCAGCTATGTTTGTCTGTCATTCTGTCTTGTGTTTTCCTGTTTGGCTGCCGTCTTCAGGAAGATGGGCCTCGTGTGTGTGTGTGTGTGTGTGTGTGTGTCTGTGTGTGTGAACGCTCTGCATCAGGACGTCATCAGTGAAGCGAAGCAATAACTGGAGGGTCCATGTCTGAGACGTTGACGGCTGTTTCAGCATTAATCACATTCCCCCCCCATCTCCCCCCACCCCGTCACTTTCTGACCCTTAATATCTTCCCATCCCTCTAAGGGAATATATAACTACATGTACTTATTAAACGACTAAGACTATTATTTTATTATTATTTACCTCTTAAATGGCTAGCTACGAAATGTGATCTTATTGTCTTTTTGATTTGATTTGAACTTTTTTATGCTTTGTTTTTAAATGCGGTCTGCGCTTCATTTCTCGGTAAAAGGAGATACAGCATAAGTACTTTTTAAACTGTTTAGCATAATTTTCATAAAGCTGAAGTCCTGGTGCTGGAGAGATGAGGTTTTGGGGCACAAAAGGAGCAGTCTTCTCTTGGGGGTTAGAGGACACTAAATTTCTTTCCGAAGGGGGTGTTCCCAGACCGGTGGACATCAGGGTTCTGTCTGGTATTGAGTAGGTGATTGTTGATGCCCTTGTGGGGGTGATGGACAGTGGCTGGTCTGGAAATGTAATCCCCCCCCCCCCACCTTTGGGATTTGCCTATATCAGAAGGCCGGTGTGACTGGCCACTTGGTGGGAGGGGCGGGAGGGGGGCCGGGCTTCGTGGGTACAAGAAGTGCAATGTGTGTTGACCGCGGGAATGAAAGCACTACTGTTCAGAGAGCGATGTGTGTTGGTTCCCAAGCGATCAATAAAATGTGATTGATTTTCAGCCTCAAACGAAGCCTTTTCTTTTCAGACATCTCCAGTGCCTGATTGTTATACTGCTGCACAGAGGCAAGACACCATAAATTCATCTTATCGAAATTGAATTAATGACCAAAATCGGGTTTCTTAAACCCTTTCATCTTAAGATAATCTTAGTTCTGCAATACCTGCTACACATACAAATTTTGAAACTCTTTAACTACCTTTCTTAGTTTGTCAGTGTTTCGCCTGTCTGGGGCAGTATAGAGATATGCCTTAAGACGCTGTGCCAGACTGAATCTGTATTCAGATCATGTGTTTTTCGTCATGCTCCTTCGGGATTCCTCTGGGTGTGCTTGTTTTCTCCCACAGTCTGACACGGAAGCTGTAAACTGCGAATTCCCACAAGTGTGTGTGTGTGTGTGTGTGTGAGAGAGAGAGAGAGAGAGAGAGAGCTGTCCACAGGCGGGTGTGCTGTCCAGGCTACATTCTGCCCAGGGGTGCATATGGGGGGGGGGGGAGGGTTACACGTTCCCCCCAGTTTTATGACTCCTCCAGCATGGCTGGGCGCTTGAAGGTTGAAACTTTTTCCTCATTGTTTGGTTCCCCCCCCCACTTAAAAAGTCCTGTGCCCCTGACTCTGCCTAATGATAGTTCTCATGAAGGAGTGACTTGACACAAACCTTTCTAAGCAAATTACTTCAAATTTCTTCAGTACTCCATCCATAAACTTTCTGAAATTTGCGCGTAATTCCCAGAAATATACTGTCCCTGTCATCTTCAGGGCATCGTTTCCCAGGAAAAGACGCTTCTTAGCAGTCATCATTCCCTGACTCTCCTGCAGAGGTAATACAGAGTAAAGTAAGGCTGCCAATCGACCTATAGATCTTCCATAACCACCATCTCAGGCAGCATAGGCCACAAGGCAGGGGAGACTGTGGCCGAGATGCGTGTATATAAACCACAATTTACTGACATTCACCTACGCAGAGCATAAATCAGGTCCACGACGTCCGAGATGTGACAGATACATATAATTAAGATGAATATTAATTTAGACTATATTGCATTCAACAATGACAATGGACAAGGTAAAAACTGGCAGCTCACTGACTGCACGAACATGTCAAGAAACTTCCCAGGAATTTTCTAGAAGTGTGATGTTTGACGACCTTACTGGAGATGACAAAAGGAAGAGCTTTCTTAAGCAAGATGAAAGCAGACGGTAGCAAGTAGAAATGCAAATACGTTTATTTGGGTTTTGCAAACACTGTTTGGTAGTCGAAGGTCTGGGGAAAAGAAAGTCAGTAACGTTAATTTATGAGAGGACCCGGAAAAAATATATACTCATCACCGTCTGGGTAAAAAAAATGCCAACTGCTTCCTAACTGCATTACTAATAACCGCCACCAGAGGGAAGTGAATGGGTACATAAAACGCGCGCGTACCTCCTGAACAGACCGTTTGACACGCGCCACTTGTTACATTTCGTTCAGCTGTTGTTTTGATGTAATTATGTTTAATCGCAATATTTATGAGTGTTCTGCTGCCTATACGGCACGACACTGGCAGTTGAACTTTTACTTATGAATGCTACTTATGAGGATGCGTGTATATAACATTTATATAACATTTGTACGCACACGCATATACATTATATTTAAATACGGAGTTGCACATTGAAATGGCACTAACAAAATGGAATTATTATTATTGTTATTATTAATTGTTACATATTACTAATTAATAATGACGATTATAATAATTACTGCTTAATAATATTGTTAATTCAATTTTATGTAATTCAAGCAGGACACCAAATCAAATATTCAAATATTAATTTGTTACTGATTTACTGATTTTTCCTATAAATATTTTGCAAAAGATATGCAATATTTACCTAAATACATAATGTGAACCCACTTTTGACCTGCTATAAGCTGCCGAGGATTTCATTTAATATATACACAGTGTTCTGTACTTCTGTTGTTTTGTGTTAATTATCCAAATTAAATGTGACTTTCAGCAATTTCTGCAGAAGTTATATAAACACTGTAAGAGAACAAATGGGTGCGTACAAGAGACAGCTTGTCGAAATATCCAAATTTACACATTATGTGCGATGATGATGAAGAAGGCGACTTATCTTCAAAATGATAAGGTTAAGGAATTTATTGTAATGGCTACTAATCAGATTTTAAAAATGCAAATTTTCTGGAGTTTGAATCTTGATTTAATGAGTATGATGGCAGAGTGAAATGGATCAATATCATAATCAGACAATGAATATAAAAAAATAGTAATGAAGGAAGATTAGTTACGTTTTTATGATTTTATTCTGTTAATTTTTATGCTGAGTGGAAGTTCCTTGTGTTTGGGTGGAGGCTGGAGCCATTCAGAGGTAGTTTTCGCCGCGTGTTGTCCGGCAGACCTGCTGCTACTTGGTCTGCTGGCCTGCAGTGCAGTTAGAGGACGGGCCAAGAGAGGCCTGGGCTTCCTGTAATCGGACCCAAAGCGCCGGATGAGTGTATCACGTGCTGTAAGGTCACTTTAAGTGTCAGATGGCAATGTTCGCAAATGGTATATCCAGCTACTACTGGCTATTGACGTGGCACCACACTGACAAGTGTTTTTTAATGCTGAAAAAAACTGAGAAGCCATATTTAATTTGTGCAAATAAATGGCCAAACAAACCGTATCTAAAATGAACAGGCCATAAATAACAATGGCTTCTCTGAGAAATCCCCCTCCAGGCGTTTACTGTTAAAAAAAAATTTTCCTCTAAAAAATAATTATAATAGTTTAGTCCCAGATTTGTCATTTGATTGGGACTGTTAAAAGACAAGTGGTGGATTCCTTGGGAAATGTTTTTAAAAGATCAAAGTCGTGATGAAGACTCAGGACTGGCCATACCCTTTAAGGCAAGGGAATGTGATTTATGTGTTGTATTAAAATCAGGCAATGGTTCTCAGGCTGATATTTTCACAGGAGTTGAAGGACTGAAATTGTGCCCTTAATGGCTGCATAACTAGCTGCCTGTGGAGTCTGAGGAAGCTGCTTCCTTAACAAGAAGCAGGGTGAAGTTGTTTTAAATCTGAGGGTGGCTGGTGTTTGTGAACTTTTAATGACCTGGACAAAAATACAGACTATTCCCGACATAATAATGCGTTCAATTCTTA